AGGTGCATATGCTCGAAATCCCTGAGATGTGGTAGGCGTGGCTGCGTACTTCAACTGAACGTGGCGGTGGCTGGGCTTTTGGAGAGACATTTTCATTTTGACACAATTGTGGTCGTGTCTCTGTCCGTCGCAGAACAAGACAAATCCTAGGAGTAACCCATTCTATGCCTTATTCAAGTGCCACGCCTACTTCGTCTCAGGGATAGAGTGTGGATGCCGACCGAGACGCTCTCCGCAACCCACCCCCGCCCACAAATGGCCGTACCGTCACATCCAGGCTGGTACTCTTATCGCTGCCGTTGTGAAGCACAGTTGATATGGGGATGTGGGGGAGGAGGGCGGGGAGGGGGTGCTAAATGGATATATGAATGCATACGTGCAGCCGTATCTATGAAGGGGGTTGATGGCACTTGGCCAGAAAAACTCGTCCAAAAATGCTTGTCCGATGCCATGCAGAACAAAGACTTTTTTCGCCGGTTAACTTCGAACTTTCCAATTTGCAGGCGTGTTCACCGTACGTCACGATGCTAGCCGGCTATTTCTCGCTGAACGACTCACCTCGTTTTCAGCTCGTCTTATCGACTGTTAAACAGCTCAAAGTTGGTCATTTTCTCATTTTCCAGAAAATAACTGAACTTTTAATGTAATTGTTCAGGTACTTGACTACTTAGACGGACTGCCTTCGTCAACTTCAATTTTTACATATTTTGTTGTATTATTAGTAACATTATTTAATGTATTAGCGCACCTAGTGTGATGTTATGTGAGCTCATTCAGTGCCTTTGATGATGAGATATATGTGAATTTTCATGAATTTCTATAAAATGCTTTATTTTGTTCGCTTGTTGTGAGCCACACACACACACGTTTGTGGGAGCAGTGGATTTTTTTGTGTTGCCCGAAACTGTCCGACAACCATTATTTAATCAGTAGCAAACTTGGGGCTTCACAACCCTGTTTTTCTCTCTTCAGTAGTTCTGCTCTCAAGAAAGTTATGGACCGCCAAAAAGGTACCCTCTGGTAGGAGGGGGGAGGGGTTGGCCCATTTTCCAACATATCGCGAAATAGCGTGCTCTAGTGCAACCGCAGAAAGTGTTTCGAAGATCGCAATTTTTAAATTCGCGGGAAAATTCAAAATCCAGAATCCATTTTGATACCATCTCCATTGGGGGACAAGGTGCAGCATCGTGATGTGTGAAATGGTGGTGTAGGTACGACCCCCCCCCCTCCGAGAGAGGTGTCAGTACGACCCCCCCCCACCTGAATGAGGGTCTCGGTACGACCCTACCCGAGCACCTGCCTCAATTTCCTAACTTCCCACATTTTCTAGTTTTCGAAAATTTTCTGTCGAGCGTGGGAAGGGGGGGGGTACATATAGCCATGAAGCAGGAAAATTACGCGAAAAGTCAACAACCGCGAAAAACCTCCCAACGCAACAAATCTCTCTCAAAGGCACATGCGACTCCCCCCCCCCTCATCCCAACGACTAAATGCGACCATTTCCCCAGCGGAGAAGTGCGACCCTTACATCCTTTTATGTTCACACACCGTACCCTGTATGGAACCCGGCGGAATCTCTTGTGAGGACAACCGACTAGTAAAATATCGGACCGTTGAGTTGTTCGCCACTCTCCAATTTCACGTCAGTTTCGTCTTCGTTTCTCGGAAATCTTTTAACCTACCCTATTACTGGAACGATACCAATTTCCTGCATTTGCGTTTCACACAACGACGCTGTACCCTGCTGGGGATCGTGCCGAGACCCTTTTTTAGAGAGGAGCTGGTGAGTTTTTACGCAACGTGTTGGCGTACTGCACACTGTACCTACCATCGTCATGGGGTAGAAAGCGCTGAATATACTTGCCCCCAATATAGCGTTTTTGTTTTCGGGAAATCATGCATATGTAATCATCGCCGCAACCTATGTTACAGCAAAGATCTGTCATAAATAAGGAGCCACTGTGCACCCTTTCCTGCCTCGCTCCTCAAAAATAGCGCCACATCCAGCTTCACAGGAGTTCACAAGTTTCACCAGAGTGAGACTTGTAAACCGGAAGTAGTGAAGCAATGAAAGTGGAAATGCCCCCCCCGTCGCCAAACTGCGCCCCAAAGTTTTCCCTTTGGTGGGCTTGGAGATGGTGTCGTCTTTGCTGATATTCTGATTCCCTGTGCACGCGCTACAGGTGATGAACGACGTTTGCAGCGTAAATAGGGGTGCGTTCATACTTTAAGCTACCGTCTTGACCGACGAGCAAAGGGTAGTTATCGATCTAGCGTTTGAAGCTTACGGCAGCGTTTTGAGCGTCTGGAGCGACTAGAAGATCATGGGGTATCTATCCAGCGTTTTAGGTCTATGCTAGCTCACGCCGGCGTTTTTAGCGAATAAGAATATATTGGTGTCAATCTAGCGAGCCGCGCTGGAGTACGCTGTCGTACGCTCGGAACGCTAACTCAAAGTATGAACGCACAGTGCATCTTAACCGGACGGGCGATAAAGTGGACATTGCTATGTCCTT